TTTTTTTTTTTTTTTATGGCGGGCTGGCCCGCGGCCCGCCCACCCCGCCCCGCCAAAGCCCGCGGCCCGTGCGGGCCAGCCCGTTTAGGCCCGCCATTTGGCGGGCCTATAAAATTTCAACCCAACCCGCCTATTTGGCGGGGCGGGGCGGGCCAGCCCGCGGGCCCAGCCCGTTTTGACAAGTCTACTCATTTCTGAAGAAGGATTGCAATGATCAAACAGAGAAGCTGTTAAAGTCTTGTGAGATATGCTACAAGGCCAAACAACATAGACAACCTTTTGTGAGGAGCACAATCAGACTAATGAAGTTTTTGATCTACTGCATTTAGATGTATGGGGTCCCTACAAAGAAGAATCCCTAACTGACACCCCATATTTTCTCACCATAGTGGATGACTACAGTAGAGCCACGTCGGTGATTCTTTAGAAGCACAAATCACAAGCTGGGGGTTTTGTCAAGGATTTTGTGACTATGGTCAAGACACAATTTCAGAAAAAAGTCAAGAGGATAAGAACTAACAATGGTGGAGAATTTACTAACAAGGATCTGCATGACTTTTTAAGGACTAAGGGGATATTGCATGAAACATCTTGTGCATATTCACCACAGCAAAATGGTGTGGTTGAGAGGAAGCACAGGCATCTACTTGAAGTGGGAAGGTCACTAATGTTTCAGGCCAAATTACCTATAAAGTTCTGGCCCTATGCAGTTCTACAAGCAGCTTATGTGATTAATAGACTTCCCTCATCACTCCTTGATTGGGAAACACCTTATGAAAGAATTTACCACAAAACCCCAGATTATGGAAGAATACATCCCCTTGGTTGTCTTGCTTATGCAGCTAATGTGCAACCAGCTACAGGAAAATTTGATTGTAGAGGACTAAAATTCTTATTCTTGGGCGATGTAGCAGGAAAGAAGGCTTATCACTTATACAGTATGGATACTGATGAACCAGTGGTTGCCAGGGATGTTGTGTTTTTTGAAGCCATATTTCCATTTCAGTCACAAAGAGAAGCAGAGTCATTGGTTCTACCACAAGCTGTAGATCAACCATTGATAGAAGAAAGTGAAGCTGAAGTTTATGAGGATGATGCACCTTCTCAACCTGATCCAGAGGCTGGTCTTAGAAGGAGTACTAGATCAAGAAAACCTCCTGGTTGGCAGGAAGACTATGATTGCAATAACCTCACATGCAACTCAATGCATGGTTCAGATGATATCCACCTGTTCATGGCTAATATTTCTCTTGAAAAAGAACCAGTGTATTATGGACAAGCCAAGAAGCACCCAGGTTGGGTAGAGGCAATGGAACAAGAACTTCTAGCTTTGGAGAAGAATGATACTTGGGAACTCACAGCCTTACCCAAAGGAAAGAAAACCATTGGCTCAAAGTGGGTGTATAAGATAAAAAGGAGGAGTGATGGCTCGGTGGAAAGGTTCAAGGCTAGGCTGGTAGCCAAGGGTTATAACCAACAAGAAGGTATTGATTTCTTTGACATTTTTTCACCTGTTGCAAAGTTAGTTACTGTGAGAATCTTCATTGCCATAGCTACTATGCAAAACTGGAGCTTGCATCAGGTAGATGTCAATAATGCCTTCTTTCATGGGAATTTAAGTGAGGAAGTGTATATGATGCCACCTCAAGGGTATTTGAAAGCTAAAGCTGGGCAAGTTTCCAAACTCAAGAAGAGACTCTATGGTCTCAAGCAGGCCTCTAGAGAATGGAATAAGGAACTCACTCATAAACTCTCACTTTTTGGACTGGTACAATCATCTCATGACCATTGTCTGTTTACATTCAAGAAAGAAGCTAGATTTATGGATGTTCTCATCTATGTTGATGATGTGTTGCTACAAGCAACGATGAGACTCTAGTCACAGCCCTTAAAAAGTTCTTGGACAAAGAATTTACCATCAAAGACCTTGGTACTGCAAAGTATTTTCTAGGGGTAGAGGTTCTTCAAACTTAGAAAGGTACTACACTTTGTCAAAGGAAGTACATCCTTGATATACTAGATGACATGCAAATGTTGGACTGTACTGCTACCACTACACCCTTACCTTGTGGGCTGAAGCTCCAATCTGGTGATAGCCAACCACTCACTGAACCTGATTTGTACAGAAGGATCATTGGTCGACCACTCTATCTCAATTTAATAAGGCCATACATCACATATGGAGTTCAACAATTAAGCCAGTTTGTTAATGAGCCCTGCTCTTCTCATTGGCACGCAGCCATGCATATTCTTCGATATCTAAAAGGCACAGCTGATCATGGGATTTATTTCTCTAAAACTGGTTCTTTTACCCTCTCAGCTTACAGTGATGTGGGCATCTTGCAAGGACACAAGAAGGTCAGGTACATGCTATTGCATCTTCTTAGGGGATTGTTTGGTGTCCTGGAAAACTAAGAAACAACAAACCGTGTCTCATTCTTCGGCCGAAGCTGAATATAGGGCCATGAACACCACAATTTCAGAGTTACAGTGGATCACCTACATCTTGCATGATTTTTCTCTCCAGGTTCCTATACCTATTCCTCTGCGGTGTGACAATAAGGCGGCCATCCATATTTCAGCAAATCCGGTGTTTCATGAGCGCACAAAACATCTCGAAATTGATTGTCACTTTGTTCGTGACAAATACAAGGAGGGGTTTGTCCATGCATGCCGCTACCAAGATTCAACTTGCAGATGTGTTCATAGCTGATTTTAATTTTCATTTTTCTGTTATGAAACTCTGTGCTTAAATCGTGTGTACGTTTTTCTTTTCTTAAGTGCGTCTCAATTGGTAGAGATGACGTCATATTGTGTGTAAAGAAGATAGAACCAAAAAGGTCCCGTTTTGTACTGCATGAGCATATTAAATGCTCGAGTTTTCCCCTCTTTCATGCAATAACAGAAAATAATTTCAGATATGAAATCGCACTCTTCAATCTAGTTTCTCTCTGATTTTCACAAATTTTTAGTTTTATCACGATTTATATACATTGTATTCAATTGGCACGATTCAGTGCAAAACCGCATTGAATCGAAAACCAAACGTATAAAAACTCCAGTTCTAATTGCTTACATTTTATTATCATGAAATGTTTTACTTTTTAATTTTATGATTGAACTACTTGTATCAAAAACTCCAGTTCTAACCATTTCGTTATTGATGAAACAGGTGGAAATTAACAATTTTCACTGCAACTATGAGCATCTCATCCTCTATCTGCAAACAGCTGCAACCATTACTAAATTTTTCCCTTGGTTTTATCCACACGGAGCAGTAGTTGATCGTCAAAAATAAAGTGGTGATTGTGATGGGTCCAATTGGCGCTGGAAAATCCCGTCTCTTTATCGACCTAGCTACTCGATTCGAGGGAGAGATTATTAATTCCGACAAGATACAAGTCTACAAAGGCTTGAACATAGTCACTAACAAAGTAACTAACCAAGAATGCCACAAGGCGTCTCACCATCTATTAGGAATAATAGAATCGAATTCCGACTTCTCAGTGAATGAATTTATCGAGCATGCCACCATGGCTAGCAATGCCATTGTCCACCATGGCAAATTGCCTATAATAGCCGGTGGTTCAAATTCTTGCATAAAAGCACTTGTCAATGACAGCCTAGAGTTTCGAGCCAAATACGAGTGTTGTTTTCTTTGTGTTGATGTTTGCAATTTATTGTTATAAGGTTATTGCTCTTTGTCGCTTCGATTTGTTAAAGAAAAAAAAAAAGTTATATTGTGAAGTTATATTGTTATAAAGTGTGGTTAGTCGATTTCAAAATAAGAGCACAATAGATAATATGAAACTTTTGTCTGCTCTACTCTAGAGGGTGAGGAGCTCAAATAAATATTGGATTTGGGGCAAGTGAAATAGCTTCCCTAGAGCTATATATAATATTGCCACTATTGTATAAATCGAATTACAATAAAGCCATCGAGATGTGTTTTGCACTTTTGCTCATATGATGCAACGCTGATGTTTTTCTTATTCTAGCGAAGTAAATGAATGTTTTGAATATACATAAATAATAGATAACACTCCTCATCAGATATGAAACTTCGTTGATAGGAAAGCACATAATGTTACAACTTGATATGGTCCGAGGTAAGTGACTCCGGTCTTTCGAAGGGTTCTTCTCGGTTGCAATGTGAATACGTCTAACTCGGTCAGATCTACGCTTGAATGCTCGCCGGTACTTACAAATACGCCGGAATTGCTCCGGCGCAAGACCCTCCGACGCCCAAGTCTATATTTCGGAATAAGAGAATTTTAATGTGTATTGAATGTAATAGTGTTTGTATTTAATGATGTCTTACCTTTTTCCAGTGGAATTTATCATATATATAGTGTTTAATTGTACAGACCCCTTTCTGGAGCCATAGGTCCTTAGATACCCGACGACCGAATGCTAATCGATCGACGTCTACACGTGTGAGTCGACCTTCGACCCATTTCATCATATGGTCGACTAGGCTTGTGTTCGACCATCTACTCCGGTCGACCTCCACTCGGTCCCAAGTCTTGCTCGGCTATTTTGACTGGTCGACCCCTCCCGGCCCATTCCATTTGGACCGGCCCTTAGGTCCGTATGGTCTTGGTCCTATGGGTCTATGTTTAGCTAATTGTACTAATATCCATATCAACCACTCTCCCCTATTTACGAGTACACGAGTTGATACTTGTGTGGTCGTAAATATAATTCCATTTAGATCTGTTGACGGCCATTACTTCTTTAATTTTTGGCGTCCAAATTTACACCCTTATCTTGAGTCAACCACACACCTTGCTCGACCTACTCGATGCGTCAAGAGGATTCTTAAGTCGACATCATGAATGCGATGATATCCTTGCAACATTCCACATCTTATTGTAACCTATAAGTCGACCCTCATATAAGTCGACCCTTTTGTAACAATCCGCAATATGTGATGCTATCCTTATCCATATCATATAATTTTGTTGAGGTTATATGAATTTTTAGTAAAGAGATAATGGTGCTGAGATAGTGACAATATCCATGCTTATTTAATTAGATGCCACTTGATAGAATTTTTGCAATTCTTGTACTAGCACTATACGACCACTGTGCGCTCATATCAATGGGTGTTGAATTCACATGTTCACCCCCAAGTTAGAAAGTGTGGTGCTCGACCCTTCTTTGGTCGAATTTTTCATTTTTATTTTTTTATTATTATTTTTTTCGGCTATTCTTCAATTGAGGGGTCATGCCTTGGTGTTCAAATATTTTTGACCAAGATCTTTCTCCCCTTTTGTGCTAGAAAAGTATTATTACAACTCCCAAGGTGCACTCTCCATCATGGATTTACCTTTGGGTTTCCATTTAATCTCATGGCTCACATTCACCATTTGACCCAATGGTTAATTACCTTCCTCCAAATATCCTTCTACCTCACCCATTTGGGTTTCCATTTCCATTCTCCTCTATTACCACATTACTTCACCTGAGAATTTCTTTCCTTCTCCTCTACTTCCCGTTAGGGTTTTTTTTATTTTACCACCCATTACCTAATTTCTTCTTAAACTCTCTTGCCCCAAATGAAAATTCTCATGCCTTTCCTTCCTTGCTTTCGCACGTCCAGGTCGATTCCACTTTGGTTCTCCGAAGCTCCCTAGTTGTCGGCCTCCAAGGAGCTTCACGGGCGATTGCCGCTCAATTTCTCGCCCGATTTACTCTTTCAATCGAGCTCGGGTCACTTGCGATAATGGGTATGTACTCGAATCATCCTTCTCTATTACTTGGATAATGGGTATGTATTTAGAATCCAAGAGTGATGGCAAAAAATTTTCGATTGATTGTGATATATTGCTTGGAATTGAACGGCCCTTATACCTTTGAATAATGGGCCGGATTTTTTGATTCAAAATAATAGGATTTCCGATTTGTATGTGCCTATACCCGTCGGTGCCTTTTGATTCTTAGGCTACATAGCCCGGTTTTCGGGTTCAAGCCGGGCTTTCTTTTTCAATAGTCCTTATACCGTTTTCCTTGCGTCCGTTTGTGTAGATACCTTTCGATCCTCCTTCAGGGGCCGGCGCCCCCCATTTAGTTGACGAGGCCGAAGGCGTGTTCACTTGGGACGAGCTTCAACGGTTTGGAGACTCGTTTTCGAATGATCCTTTTGACCTCGCGGATATCCCTTCTTTTCTCGATATTCCCGACTCGGTTTTGGGCCGAGGTGTCTCTCTTCTAACCGGTTCGGGAGGACTTGGTTCTCCTTCGCGTGGGTCGGGAAACCACGCCGCTCTTTCGGCCAATTCGGGTGGTCACGTTACCCCCTCGGTCAATTCGGGTAATCACACTTCCTCCTTGACCGACTCGGGTGAGAGTGAGGCTTCCGGAGTTGACATTGATAGTAGGCCTAGTCCTTTTTATCGCATGTCGTCCGACGACATCGCGGAGTTCAAGAAGCTTTGCGAGCTTCCTACCGGTTGGAGTTTGTGAAACTGGAGCTTACGGACACCTATGATCAACCGCCTTCCGGATGCTACACGTTTTTTAAGGACAAAGTTGGTGTGGGTCTTCGATTCTCTAGCCTTGGCCCTCTCTTGCGTCTTTGTCAGGTGTTTAATTTTCCATTAAACCAACTTCCCCTAATGCTATTCGAACCATGATCACATTCGCTATTTTATGCCATCACCGGTTGGGGCAGTTAGAGCCCGATTTTTATTTGTATTGCTACAGCTTGAGGTTCCAAAAGTGGGGTAACACGGGGTGCCATTATACTCTTTCCCGTAACAGGGCTCAGTTTATACGAAAGCTCCCTTCCAATATCCACTCGTGGAAGAGAAGGTTCTTTTTTGTCCGGCCTCCGACCAAAGCCTTTTTTTTCGAGCCGAAGTGGCTTCATAAGCGTTTTTCTCCACGACATAAGCCTAGGAAGAACTCCCCTTGGAGACCCGTGGTCCAAGAGTGGAATAAGGAACCTATCGCCATAGTACCCCTTACATCCTCTGTCACCCTTCACCATTATGCCGGTTTGACCACCGAAGAGCCACCCCTTTCCGACACCATAAGTACCCACTGTTGGTCCTTCCTTAATTGCATTTGCATTGTTGTTGTTATTATTCCTTATCCTGCTTACGTGCATATGGTTTATTTTTTCTTGTTTGTCGTTGTGCGCGGGTCGAGCTAATCGACCCTCGGTGGGCCCTTGCTGAGGTCGACCGCATTCAAGCTGTGTCTGTGTCGTGTGGGTCGATTCCACCTGCGTGGTCGTGTGGTTGACCGTGTTGCCCTCACGCTAACCGACTGTGTGGGTCGACCACGTCAACCCTACATACAAGGTCTCATGTGTCAACCACGGCGTTTCTCTATTAATGGGTCGTGCGGGTCGAACGTGTCGACTGTGACTACGCCGTATCGGCCCTGGGTTGATCCCATCGACCATTAGTTGTGAGTAGATCATGAGACCCCTCTATGGGCTAGGGGTTGGTCGTGTCGACCATATTGGCCACCTCGGCCGTGTTGACCGGATCGACCGTATCGCGTTGGTGTTGAGGGTCGACTGCGAATCGGTCGTGTCGACTGTGGGGTCGACCGTATCGACCGCCTTGACCATGTCGACCGGATTGACCATGTCGACCATATCGTCCATATCTATCCTTGTTGTTATGTTTGTGATGTATACTTGTACTGACCCGTCTATACTTGCTGTTTTCAAATGCAATCGTCAAGCAAAACATACTGCAAAAGAAACAAGCTAGGTCTAAGAAGGCGCGCGATGATGGGCCCTCGAACCGAGGTCGAGCAGATCGACCCTCGGCGCATACCCGGAGCCAGAGCCAGTATGATTTCCATAGGGCTGGGTCTCAGTCAACCCATCCAGCAGCCGACCTTCCATCGCGGGTCGACGCGCACCCTTCCTCCGGTCGTACCGCTTCGACTCCTGATCGTTCGAGCCGTCAGGTGGTTGGATTCGTCCCCTCTCCGAGCGTTGGGCGGTCTGGTCCATCTCATCCTACCCCCAACCATGATGGGGTCGATTCTCGTAAGCGCGCTCGACCCTCCGACCTTGGTGATAGCGTGACTGCTCCTCCCGACTTTGGGAAAGACGCCGACCCTGCCGTCCTTGCCAAGTATCTTTGTTCAGTTATACCCGATTCTGAAAATCGGCATTTTACGGGTAAACCCCAAGACCGAGCATGCACGGCTGTTCACCGTCTTGCCCAGGTATGGCTTCGGTTATCCATTGTCCCCGTTATATTTACCCTGTCTTATAATCTTTATAATCTAGTTGATGAATCGGCATTGTTGTTGTTTTTTATTTTTGTAGTTCCTTTAGTGCAGTGAGCCCTTTGCTTTTCGACAAGGTGAATGGGAAGACTGGGGCAGACCGTATAGAGATTGATCAGCTAAAATGGCAACTTGATAAGGTGCATTCTACCATTGGGACCCTGAAGGGTCAGCTAGTCGAGGCCCGCCAGGGCAAGGAGACCGCGTACCGGAAGTGTGCCGTCCTCGAGAGGTCCATGACCGAGCGTGAGAAGACCTTCGACGAGAAGAACAAATAGCTCCAGAGGAAGTTGGCTGATCTATCGATACAGATGAAGGAGGCCCAGACCCGTCATGCCGCTTCCGCCGAGTCCTCCCGCCAAGAGGGGTTCAGGGGGTTCTTATGTTCTGAAGAGGGTCGAAGTCTTCTGATCGCGTATCGGGATGAGCTGCTTAGCCTGTATCGCAACTCCGTTCCTTTTCTCCACCTCCTTGTTCCGACGACTATGCGATACTTGGACCTCGCCATTGCGCGTACTCAACAGCAGGCCGCCAAGCAGGGCTTTAAAGGGGCCTTTGACGATGAGGCCCTGAAGAGTGATTTACCTTACCCCAGAGGGTTTAAGGACGACGATACACTACCTTACGATCACCCTTGGTGGGAGCCAGCTCTCGCCATTGCAGTGAGCGCAGCAGGGCTTGAGGGCCAAGTGGTTTTGCCCCATTCTTTTCCGCCCCCTCCTCCACCGCCTCCTCTTACTCCGACCCCTTTTGAAGAGGCCGAGTTAGAGGACAATATAGAGGATGATGCCAACTTTCAGGGTCCCGTGGTTTCGCCCCCCCTAAGGAGTCGAGCAAGCTCCCTGAGCTTCACGCGTCCTCTGCTCCGCCGGAGAAAATGGTGCTAGTCCANCCCATCCCCTTTCTCTGCGGTTACCCCTGTTGCCGGGTCGAGTGTGGACCCAACTGCCGATGCTGCTGAGCGCCCTCTTGACGCATAGTGTAGTTTCCTGCTTTCTTTTGATGTTGCTATTTTGGAACTATTATGTTGCTTTTCATGACTTTTGACTTCGTATGGAACTCTTATTAACGCCCTTGTACTTTGGTTGTTTTGATGACGCTTGATGTATTCGCTATCTCCTTTTTATGTTATGCATTGTTGCTTTTCTTTATTATGACTGTGTTTGTCGATGTGTTTATGGTTGGGTTATCATCTCTTCGGAGATAGGGTCGAGCCATCCGACCATCGCGGATGCTCGACCCTCATGGTGCTTTAGGGTCGAATAGATTGACCTTTCCGATTCTAGGGTCGACATTATTCAAATAGATCGACCTAGCTTTAAGGCTTCTGATCGACCGCATGGCCTTAAAAAATTGTTTCCCCGGACAATCTAGCCTTAAGGTCCTGATCGACCCTTATGGCCTTAAAAAATTATTGCCCCGGACGACCTAGCCTTAAGGCTCCTGATCGACCCGTATGGCCTTGAAAAATTGTTGCCCTGGACGATCTAGCCTTAAGGCTCCTGATCAACCCGTATGGCCTTGAAAAATTATTGCCCCGGACGATCTAGCCTTCAGGCTCCTGATCGACCCGTATGGTCTTGAAAAATTGTTGCCCTAGGCGATCTAGCCTTAAGGCTCCTGATTGACCCGCATGGCCTTAAACAATTATTGCCCCAGACGATCTAACCTTAAGGCTCTTGATCGACCCGCGTGGCCTTGAAAGAGTATTGCCCCGGATTATCTAGCCTTAAGGCTTCTGATCTACCCGCGTGGCCTTGAAAAACTATTGCCCCGGGTGATCTAGCCCTAAGGCTTCTAATCGACCCGCGTGGCCTTGAAAAATTATTGCCCCGGATGATCTAGCCCTAAGGCTTCTGATCGACCCGCGTGGCCTTAAAAAACTATTGCCCCGGGTGATCTAGCCATAAGGCTTCTGATCGACCTGCGTGGCTTTGAAAAACTATTGCCCCGGGTGATCTAGCCCTAAGGCTTCTGATTGACCTGCGTGGCTTTGAAAAACTATTGCCCCGGGTGATCTAGCCCTAAGGCTTCTGATCGACCGCGTGGCCTTGAAAAATTATTGCCCCGAACAATCTAGCCTTACGGCTTCCGATCGACCCGCGTGGCCTTGTAAAACTATTGCCCTGGGTGATCTAGCCCTAAGGCTTCTGATCGACCCTCGTGGCCTTGAAAAACTATGTAGCTACAGTAGTCATTATCGTTTCAGCCAAAACACAACATTTCATTGAGCACATCTTCACAAACATTGTCGTACATCAAAACGCCATAGGGCTACAAGATATTCACCGGAATAAGTACTTCGGTGCTAACAAAAGGTATGTACATCGACCACTGCTTAACCTAGTCAAACAAAGTACTTTTTGAGGTGAATAACATTCCACGCCCTGGGCAGCACCTTGCCATACTTGTCCTCAAGCTCGTATGCTCCCCTTTCAGGACTTTAAGAACTTTAAACGGTCCTTCCCACACTGGCTCCATCTTCTCGACCTTCTTCAAGGCGTCAGCCCTTCGCCACACCAAGTCCCCGACCTGAAATCCCCTTGGCCGCACTTTCTTGTCATAAGCCATCTTCATTCGCTGTTTGTATAAAGCGACTCTTAGAGCAGCTGTGTCGCGTAGCTCATCAATCGTTTCCAAGGCCTCTCTTTGTAGCTCATTGTTGGTGCCCTCATGTACGTGTCGACCCTTCGCGAACCTGCCCCCACTTCGACTGGTATCACATCGTCCATTTCCATAGGCTAAGCTAAATGGTGTTTCCCCGGTCGTACTTTGAGGGGTTGTCTTGTATGACCACAGCACAGAGTCCAACTCATCTACCCATGCGCCCGATGCTCTCTCCAGTCTCTTCTCGTGTCCTTGCACAATGATTCTGTTAGCCACTTTGACCTGCCCATTGGCTTGTGGGTGCGCTACTGCGACAAATTTTTGCTTCACCCTCATCTCCTCGCACCACGATCTAATTTTTGACCTGAACTGAGTGCCATTATTCGATATCAATGTCCTCGGAATACCATACCGACAGCAAATGTTTGAGAATAATAAGTCGATCACCCTCTTCTCGGTTATGGTAGTTAATGCCTCTGCTTTGACCCACTTGGTGAAATAGTCTATCGCGACCAGCAGCCACTTGCGTTGCCCCGTTCCTTGCGGTAGAGGCCCTACAATGTCAATTCCCCATTGTGCAAAGGGAATAGGGGTCGACATCG